TTTTTACAATTTTTCGTAGAAGTGTAGAAAATTTTTGCAAAATTTTTCCTCCCAGATTTTTCCATGTTTTTACCATTTTTCAGTGTGGAAAAATCAAGAATTTTTCTCCAGAATTTTAATATTTTTTTGTTGGTTACTTTTTCCTCCAATTTTTTCAGGAATTGGAATACAGATCAATGCTTAGCGGTGGACTCTATCGGAGGCCAGGTTTATACGGGAGTTTGCAGCACTTGGGGAGACTTCACAAGTCAATGGGTTCAGCTGGATGAGTCCACACATGAGCTGTAATAAGACGTGTGGTATGAACTTTTGTTTTTTTTTCTGTTCGTGGAGAAAATTTTTGGGGAATTTTCGTTGACTGTTTGTGTGAATTTAAAAATTGGTAGTATCTTTTGAAAAAATGCTAGCAATTTTTCGAATTTTTGCAAAAAAAATTTGGGGAAATTTTGGGAGAACTCTCGGTGACTGTTTGTGTCAATTGAAAATTGGTACCAATTTTTCGAATTTTTACGAAAAAAAATTCGATTTTTTTTAGGAAACTTGCTACTGGGGCGTGGGGAAAGAGCCGTAGCGGTTGCATCGGTGGTAAGCGCCCGAAAGGAACTGATGTCACTTTGGAAGATTGCGAAAATCCAAATTTTAGGCAAATATTCAAGGTGAACCTCATCTGTCGGTGGTCCTGGGGGCACGTTTTGAATCTTTTAGGTTGATGATAAAACGGGTGGAATTTTGGAGGTTCAGAGTGGCGAGTGTTTGACGGCAGCGAGCGGAAAATTTGAGTTGTCCCCTTGCGAGGTTGACAGCGACACTGGGAAGGTGAATTTTGTGGCGCGCGAAAAATTTTTCGGCGGTTTTACGTGGAGTGGTATGATACTCCGTGTGAAATAGAAAATGTTTATGTTTTTGCGACCGATAACAAAAGTGAAATATGTTTTTCGCTGGTGTTTTTTTTCATATCACTAGGGTGAAACTACATCACAAGGAATTGAGGAGGAACTCATTTTTAATTTTCCACGTATGGCTAGGAACACATTCTTCAATATGTGTGTGATGTAAATGAAGTCATCACATTAGGAACAATTTCCCCTGGGGGGAATGTAATTTCTCAATGCTGAGCTCCTTTTTCATGAGAGTCTGCGACATCGCCTTTGCCACTCGTCGTGATCGCATATTTCTGAATTTGATCTGTCCCCTGGAAAACGTTATTTTTTTCAAATGATGGGCCTTTGCGGGGAAACAAATATTTTTTCTGTTGAAAAATATAATTTTGTTGAGAAAAAGAATATGTAATTTTTCGATGAGTGTAATTTTGTGGAGTTTATTTTGGTTGTTCTGCTATTTTTATTAGGTCGGCGGCGAACAGAAGTTTTCTTTATTTGAAATTGACGGGAAAATTCGAATCGAGGCGAGAGGGTTGGGAGGAACAACGATGTGTGCGGACAGCGCTTCGGGCACACAGTTGTTGCTGTATAGCTGCTATGATGCTAGTGTGAGTGTATTGGGGATGGGTGGTTGCATAAGGAGTTGGTGGGGAAGGTGGGGGGTTCGATCCCTGCGGTTGGCATTTAAATTTAATGTAGACTTCTTTTTTTTGTGAATATTTTGCGTGAAAATTTTGTGGCGCGTGACGATTTAATGAGTTTCACGGCCCGTTTAATGCGAAGTGGAGTAATAGTTTATGTGTATTATAAGACTTTTATTTTTCCGCGACCACCGAAAACAGGAGTGAATTGTGAAATATATTTTTCGTTGGTATTTTCTTTCGTATCATCGGTGAAACTCTATAAAATATTTTTGCATTAAAAAAAGAAATTTTGCAACATTTCGCGTTGAAAATTTTGTGGCGTTTTCTGGGGATTGTGTTTTTTCAGTACCACAATACGAACCAGGGCTGGAAATTTGAGGATCGGAAAAACGGCGGAGCGATACGGTAGCAGAAATTTTTTGCGGATTTTTTGAAAAGTATGTGGAATGTTCAGATTTGTGGGAAACTCGAATTTGGGAAAATGTTTTTCGGTGAAAAACGAAGCGAAGACAATGCAACAGGTAGGATTATGGGAAAATATGCACATGGTCAACTACATGTGCTGGTGATAATATGAAAATTTTGTGGAAATTTTTTGGGAAATTTTGTTGGTTTTCATATATTCTCACTAAAGGTTGTGCATGAATTTGGGTATTGGAAATTTTCCAATGGAAAAAGTGTACATGGTTGAGTACGCGTGTTGGTGAAAATTTTTGAGAAAATTTGAGGAAATTGGTTTCTTTGCTGCACTTCTTCTACCCGAATTCGTATGTAAGCTCTTGAGCTCAGTAGCTAAGGAAAGCGAACATATATTCCTACTCCGGCACTGATCCTTATATTCAAAAAACGCATACGTAATATCTCCATCGCGCGTGATAAACAACAACCATCACAAATTTGAGAAGAAAAATGTAATTTAAATTGGAAAAAAATATTTTCCCCGGAAAATCGTAAAATTTAATTTTTTCCCCGTTTTTTTGTGGTAGGTGGTGTTAGAAGGATGCGTGTCGGAAGATGGGGTGACGAAATATGGTCAGAAATTTAAAAAGGATTTTGTTAGTGGTAAGTTTGGGGAAAAATTTTCGGCACAATTTTTCTGCTCTGATTTTTTTCCATTTTTCGATGAGAAGAAAAAAATTTAGTGATAGAAAATTTGAATATTTTCCAGTTTTCGTTGGATTTTTTCCCTCTGACTTTGGGAAAATTATGATGTTCATTTCGTATTTCTTTTTTCCCATAGAGGTTTTAGTGTTTATCGCGCTTAGAAATTTGATCGCCAGATTTGTTCGTGAATCAGCTCGTGTGAAAATTTCAACGATGTGAAAAGAAGTCCGAAGGTGTGAATTTTTCCCTCGAACGATTATGTCGTGACTTGTTTTTTTTCAGCGGATGGCAAATACTTTTCCCTTCGTGATGGCAATCGGGCCCCCGGGGCGAACGAGAAAACAGGGCTTGCCCTAGGTTGGTGAAGTTTATTTTTTTATGAAAAAATTTCTGGATTTTTTATGATAATTTTTTCATTTAGGTGTCCCAATGTGATGGAGAGTCATCATCGCAAAAATGGGAATATGCTGATTTCAAAGGGTTGGTAAATCAGGAATCTCCACCTTGCTTGGATGCTGGCGGGGGGAGCAAGCCTCAACTCTAAGGACTGTTTTTTTCTTTTTTTTTCTTTTTTTTTCGTTTTTTTTCGTTTTTTTTTCTTTTTTTTTCGCTTTTTTTATTTTTTTTATTCATTTTTCGTTTTTTTCCTTTTTTTTTCGTTTTTTATCATTTTTTCGTTTTCTCCGGTTTTTTTTTCGGTTGTTTCGGTTCATGCTGGTTTTGGGTTTTTTGCTCGTTTTTTATCTTTTTTTAGGTGTTTACTGTTGATCCAATCTGGCTTTGAATGTTTTGGCTTTTTTCCGTTTTTTTCCGGTTGTTTGTTGTTGGTCAACTTTCATTTAAAGGAAAATTTTCAGCGGTTTTTTTCCAATCTTCGACTTGCTTTTTTTATTATCGTTGACGCTCAGGTACACTTGTTACACTGATGGGAGTAATTCTAACCAGGTTTGGGAGATGAACGAAGCTGGCTTCATAAGGGGAGGGCCGGATAGGACGTGTCTCGATTTCGCACCGGTGAGTTGTGCATGCGTGCAGGAGGTGAAGGTTTAATTTTATGCAACTTTTGTATTATCAATTAAATATAGTGCATTTTTGAGTGCTAAATTTTATGCAACTTTTATGTTGTCAAATGATTGTAGTTCATCTTTATTCAATGCAACTTATGTTTGTTTTATTTAACCGGATCGGGAGAGTTGACGGTAATTATAGTGATAAAACTTCCCTCAACGTTTTGTGAACGTTTTTACATGGGTAAAATCGTCCGGCTGAGGGTTGTCGAATTTCGATGGAATTGTTGTTTTTGAGCAGGTTTCGGATGCCCCGTTGAGCGCTGTGCAATGCAGTCAAGCAAAGAACTTCAAATGGGTTGTCTATAAGCCTTTTGTAAGCTTCACTTTATGCAACTTTTACGTTATCATTTGATTGTGATGAGTTTTAGGATTTGTAGGGATGAGTTTTATGCAACTTTTACATTGTCATTTGATTGTGGTGAATTTCGGAGTTCTGTAAAGATGAGTTTTATGCAACTTTTACATTATCATTTGATTGTGATGAGTTTTAGGATTTCGTGGGGATGAGTTTATGCAACTTTTACATTGTCATTTGATTGTGATGAGTTTTAGAATTTTGTAGTGAGGAGTTTTATGCAACTTTTACATTGTCATTTGATTGTGATGAGTTTTAGGATTCAGTAGGGTTGAGTTTTATGCAACTTCTACGTTGTCATTTGATTGTGGTGAATTTCGGAGTTCTGTAAAGATAAGTTTTATGCAACTTTTACATTGTCATTTCATTGTGATGAATTTTAAGTTTTTTTTAGAATTTTGACCTACTCTAGATCTTGAAAATTTCGTGTAAATTTTTCACAATTTGTGATTATCAAATTTTCTTGTAGGAACCTCTGGAAACGAGACTTTACCACGAAGCTGAGGAGAAGTACCCGGCTGTGCTCGCCAGTGCTGATGTTGACTGAGATTTGCATGATTTCTTATAAACTCTTTATTGAAGGATCGGGTCTATTTTCTTTGGTCATCATCATCATCATAATTGCTCTGTTCGTCCCAGTTCTTCCCTTTGAGAAAAGGTGTTGAGTGTAGTGGGAAGTATCGGTAATTCATCAACTTTTTGGGAAATTACTTTGTTTTTTTTGGAGGGAAATGCTAGATTGGCATTAGAAGGTGATTGAAGAATGTGGTCCTAGGTCTGTGGGAAAATCAAACGTTATGGAAGTTTTGCCAACACTGTGCGGAAGAAAACGAACATTTTTTCCCAACACAGTATTGGAAAAAATGTTCGCTTTCTTCGGCTGAGTTTCCTCACTAATTAAAGAAGTTTACATACAAATTCGGGTAGAAGTGTACGGAAATCGATAGGAATTCCCCCACAAAATTTCCCACCAGTGTTGAGTTAACGTTCGCAACTGAGCTTAAGAGTTTTCTCACTGATTATACGGGGAATTGAAATGTACAGGAATGTGTTGAAATTAATGTCGCTTCCATGGTGACTCTTATGGTGACTGACTCAGCCATTAGCTGAGCTATGTAGTTCTTATTGGCATAGCTATTGTATATTCATATTATCCGACGATGCATACAGTTCTTGGGTTTCACGCGCTCATGAGCTGAATCTAGGAGTTTCCTTACTAATTATAGAGATTTAAATCGTACAGAAAGCAATGGAGATTCATTCAAAATTTTCACAGATGTCATCTGAAAGTGTACTTGACGACGTGCTTATTTTTCCATACCGCGTTATGGCTTCCTAGATGATTTAGAAAAGTGTGGTAGGGCTCGCCTTGTTGGAGGTCTTTTGTAGACTTTTTCGGAGACACCTGCACACAATCCTTGATACTTAGCCTGACCTTTAGCTAGCTACTTAGTCTTGCTATATACTGCTGTATTCACTAAGTTACTGGAAACTACATTGTTGTGTTCATCATGGCTCCTAAGACCAAGGCCGATCACTTTGGTGTATTTGTATGATTATGGTGAATGCTAGTCCATTGGTGATGTCTTCGGGAGAGCAGTTGTTGCTGTATCGTCATAAAAGGGGGTTGCAGAATTTACTGAGGAAGTGGTTGGAGAGGCTTTTTGTGAAGAGTATCTTAGTAGAGGAAAAATCGTCTCGTGGGAGCGCGGCCATTCATAGAGGTTAGTAACCGTTTCACCCGGGTTCGATCCTTGGTGTGGGTATTTTTTACTTTTCTGGAAGGTACTGGTTTAAATAGCGGCCAGTTGGAACAGCTGTGGTTGGTCCTTTTCGGTCGTCAATGCGAAGCTATCAATGAGCTGCAATTTCTGCATGCGATTGAGACCAGCGAGGGGTTCCCGGAGGAGTGGACGTATCGGGAGAAGGTGGGGGAGGGGTCTTGTTTGGAATGGCGGAGGCTTTCGTGGCTTGTGGTGACACGTTGGTTATCAGTGTCACCACGTGGTCGAAGTAGATTAATAATATAATAATTCGAATTCATATTGTTAGTATTTGGAAATTGATCTGGAAAATATATTACTTTGGATTTACAAAATCATCAACAAAATTAACGAATAAAAATTTCAATCGATGCGTGTAATCTTCGAATTCGGCGTTATGTGTTTGTATGTATTTACGCAGTAGTGAAAATGCATTATCTCATTCACACAGTGTGAGTGAGATTGTAACAGGTTGCCCTGTTGATAGATAACGCAACTAATACCGTTACGTTGATAACCTTATTTTTCGTATGAGTAATTAAAAGAATAAAGTAGACACATTACACAAAACGCTAATGATATCAACAACGCACAACTCGGAGTGTCACAAGATAATA